GTTACAACTACACATATATGCTAGTCATTCATTTCATAAAAAAAGTAGATAAAAAAAAAAAAAATCACAATATTGATGGAATGACCACTACTAATTTGCATAGGAATAATTAATTGAGCTCATATGCATTACAACCCTACAAATATGTGTAGGTAGGAAGACTAGAAACACAAGATTCATTTTAATAGACATTGGAGAATCTTTTCTACACTGAACTCTTTCAAAAACCAGAAAAAAATCTGTACTGAATATCTATTTGTATGAGGTATGAAGGTCACCATAACATTTTTTTTTTATAATTATTTTTCTTTTCTTTTATTTAGTTATTAACAATTAAAAAGAAATTTTTTCAGCATTGACTATTCATTTTTAAAGTATATGAAAGTCCCTAGAAATATTTTTTTTTTTTTACATTTGTATGATATGAACCGTTTTTTCAGGTTTAACATTTCCCCCACCCCTACTCAACCTATCTAGCTTATTGTGAACTGACCAGAAAAATTATGTTTATTACGTATTGGCCTATAATGTTTATGACATAATTTTATAGAGGATAAATCACTTTTCAGCATTCAATAGGGTAATTTTACGTATATGATCATACAACACTTGCATATTTTGAAATATTATGTTTGAACAAATTTTATTTATTTTTGCAAATAGTTTATGATGTTATTATAAGCATACTGTTTAGTATGCACTCACATAATGTGGGGATTATGCAAATCAGCATGAAGCGGAAGTTGATGTGATCCTGTTCCGCCTCAGTGCATACTTTATGGAATTCTCGATAACCTATTTTAATCTTTTCTGACCTGTAGTTATAATTTAGTAATAACCTAAAATGGTGACAAAAAAATCTTCACAAGATTCATACCACCAAGCATCTGCCTACACACAAAATCTAAGTTGTTATTTTGATACATGTTTTTTTTTTTCAGATATCAATGAACAATGACAATCAGACAAGTGGTGCTGAAGCAATTTTAATATGACCCTTTAGTACATTGCTAGGATTAAAAAATATTATGGCTAATTTGAATAATTCCCCTCTTTATCCACAGTTGCCATAACCTACATAAACAAATATTAAAAGAAAAAGCTGGCTGTGCAAGCAGATATTAGAATGCAAATTGACTAGAAACGTTTTGATTTGGTGTATCATGCTAATTTCTCCATTACCCAAAAATTAATGCGTATTACAATTTAAATTCTGCACCAAACCTTAATGTCCATATTACTTACATATATGTAAACCAACAATGTATTTGAAGCATTTTGAATCAAATTTGATGGGATCTATCATCCACGTAAATTGGCTTTGATTGAGCAGAATAAAGTAATTGATGGTATTGGAGCGTTACTAAAGTTCATTAAAATCAGGTTTTAAGACTAATGCAGCCTAAGCTATGTATTTCACTTGTACACTGTAAGACAGA